TTGAGGAGAATGCTGTGGGAGACGGTGTCAAATGCCTTACTGAAGTCAAGGTAGACCACATCCACAGCCTTTCCCTCATCCACCCAGTGTGTCACTTTGTCATAGAAGGAGATCAGGTTCGTCAAGCAGGATCTGCCTTTCATAAACCCATGCTGACTGGGCCTGATCGCCTGCTTGCCCTGCAAGTGCCACATGATGACTCGCAAGAGGATCTGCTCCATGAGCTTCCCTGGTACTGAGGTCAAACTGACAGGCCTGTAGTTTCCTGGGTCTGCCCTCTGGCCTTTCTTGTAGATGGGGGTCACATTTGCTAGCCGCCAGTCAGCTGGGACCTCCCCCGATAGCCAGGACTGCTGATAAATGATGGATAGTGGCTTGGCCAGCTCCTCTGCCAGTTCTCTCAGTACCCTTGGGTGGATCCCATCCGGCCCCATCAATTTGTGCACATCCAAGTGCCGTAGCAGGTCACCAACCAGTTCTTCGTGGATGGTGAGGGCCACATCCTGCTCCCCATCCCCTTCCAACAGCTCAGGGTACTGGATATCCAGAGAACAACCGGTATTGCCGCTAAAGACTGAGGCAAAGAAGGCATTGAGCACCTCCGCCTTTTCCTCATCTCTCATAGTGTTTCCCACAAAGAAATATCATTGTTCATACCTTCCTACACTGTATGTACCTGTCTCACGTGACTCCAAGTCTTTGTAAAAATTGTGGGTCAGGCTTTCTGTGTATTTTAATAAAAGAAAGGACCATGCATTGACTTACTTGCCTGATACCCTTTCTTGTAGACCTGTGGTGGAGCTTCAGGGGCACGTGGCAGATTGCAGAGGTGGAGGGAAGAAGGGTCCTGCCACAGCAGCACTGCCAGGGTGCAGCATTGCCAGGCTGCACCTGTGATTGTTCCCTGTTCTTGGACAGCACCCACAGAGACAGTGAATTCACCTGCCTCTGTACACAATAGGTGAGAGGGATGATGGCAGGCAGGCTTCTTTCTGGAGGAAAGCGGGAGCTTCCTGGAGAGCCCAAGCGCTCGGCAGTGACAGTGTGTGCCAGGGAGTCAGTAGCACATGGAGCCCATAGAGCATGGGCACATCCCAGGTGGAGCCACCCTGAGGTGCTGAATCTGGGTTTGAACAGGCAAAGGAGAGCTCTGCAACTCCAGGGACACAGCAGGCATAGGGAAAGCTCTCTGCTGAGTTATTTGTTACACCTCTGGTGAAATTTCATGGATTTAATACAGTGAATCACCCCAAAACATATCCTGACGTTGGAAGTGGGTCACTTGTGCATCATCTGACATGGGAAGTGGGTCACCCTTGTGGGTCCCTTCCAGCTCGGAGTATTCCATGAGTCTCTGACTCTGAAGAAGGCCTGCCTATCTGTGCCAGCTATCCATGGCCAAGGAACCACTTGTGTGGGAGGCAGTCAGTGCCAGTGCCCCCCACCAGCTGGCTCTGCCTCCCCAGCCTGACCAACACTGGCCCTGCAGAGTGCCCCCACGGCTCCACTCACCACAGCCCCCTTGCTCTACAGAGCAGCACCAGCAGCTGGGGGGCTGTGGATAGCATGGGCAGAGGCTGCAGGAATGGCTGCTCAGGCCATCGTCTGCAAACTTACTGAGGGTACACTCAATCCCCTCATCTAGGTCATTAATAACGGTATTAAACAAGATAGGCCCCAGTACCAACCCCTGGGCGATGCCACTTGTAACGGGACGCCAACCGGACTTAACTCCATTAACCACAACCCACTGGGCATGGCCCTCCAGCCAGTTCTTCACCCAAAGGAGACTATACACAGCCAGGAGAGATGACCCAACGGGATTAAATAGATGCTCCAAGTAGGTGTTCCAGCCCACCATCCCACTACCAAAAGCACCTCGCAGCCTGCAGCAGAGGAGCCTGCTGGGGAAGAGCCTGGAGGGCTGTGGGGACCCACCAGCAGGAGCTGGTGCCAAGTCCTGCCCAAGGGTCCAAGACATCTCCCTGTTCAGCTCTTGCAGCTGAGGTATCTCCGTCTGGGGCCCAAGGCAACAGAGGGTGGGCACTGCAAGGGAGTGTCTCCTTGGGGCTTCCCAGAGATCCACTTTGTCTGGAAACTGCCTGTGCCTGGCAGGATGGAAATGTCTCTGTCAGTAGGAATAGTGTCCAGGGACCAGGGGCTCTGTCAGCCCCAAAGCCAGACCCCAATCCTGCTGGCTCTAAGATGAGCTCCTTCCAAACCTGCTGAATATTTGAGCTCTTCTCCCCTCCATCCACCTCAGGGAGACACCCTGATACCTGGGCAGGGAAGCACTGGATCTGGGGCAAAGCCCCCAGAGGGTTTTAATATGAGGAAATACAAACACACAGCATAAAAACTAGGGGAATACCAAGAAGGGAAATACCCATGTGTGTCTGCTGACTGCTGGAAAAGGGAGACCATTCCCTGGCACTCACGGCTCTCCCAGTGGCACTGAGCTCTCCTCACTCCCGGCTGCACCCAGCTGCTCAGCAGGGCTGGGCTCTGCTGGCCTGGGGCTCTGGAACTCTTGTGCACTGGGGCTCTGGTGTCACATCCTGGGTGCCCTCATGGGGATATGCCAGAGACACCTCTTCAACATCGTCATAGCCTGTGGTCCCCAGGAAAGGTGACGAGGTGTCTCCATCAGCTCCAGGGACCCCAGCACTTCTCAAGGAGTGCAGGCTTCCCCCTGTAAGCATCAAGGCAGGCTGCTGTGGTTGGGCCTGTGGGGTGCCCCTCGGGCTGTATATCACCTTCCTCATCCTCACCAGCCTGAGACATTCGGCCCATTCTCCCAGTCCCCAAAAAATACCCCAGGACAGGTACTCCATGTGGAGCTGGTCAGGCTTTCAATATGGCATGGATTCTCCTAGGCCTGGGGTTGGCATCTAGGAAGTGGCAGTGCTGCATTGTCCCTCTCACCTGTGGCTGCATGCCTCAGCCCAGCTCCTTCCTCTGGTGTCCTGGGCACTTCCCAGTCCCCTGCCCAGGGACAGGATCCTCCCCAGGGTCAGAAACCTCCCCAGCATCATCATAGCCATCTGCTGGGTAACCTCCGGGCAGGACAGGGACATCTGAAAGGAGAGGGAAGGTGGTGGCAATGAGAAGAGATGTCCTGCAGAGCAGAGGATGGGAGGGTGTGTGGGGACACAGGGCTGACATGCTGCTGGTGTCAGGGTCACAGCAGAGCCTTCATGCTTCCAGCTCTGATGATAACACTCGGTGGCACTGCTGTCAGTCTGGTCTGTCTGCAGGGAGGAGAAATGGAGACATTTCTTCCCCCCCCCACCTCTGATCCTTGGGTCTGGCCCCAGACCATCCTCCTCCTCTCTGTGCCTGGGGTAGGGCTGCAGCTGGGTCAGGGACCCCTCTGAAAAGGAGGCTGCAGAGAGCTGCAGTGGGTGCTGTGGGATGAGCCCTGCTGCCTGACTGGTGGTCAGCACTGCTGGGGATGGGCACCCACAGAGCTGGGGGTGCATGGGGAGGAGACCAGTTCCTTGGAAAGAGACAATTCTCAGAGGAACTCCAACAGACTGCCCTGGGAAAGCCCTTCACTTAGTCCTTGGTTCAGGGAGAAGCAGAGAGGGGCTGTCCCCTCTGGGATGGGCAGAGCTGGTGTGGAGGAAGCTCCTCTGTGGGGGCCAACACCTGGATGCTCTCCCACAGACCCCATGGTCCAACCATTTCAGGGACCATGGGCAGGAGCTGCAGGGCACAGCCCTGGTATGAGACAGGGAGAATGGACACAGCAGATGTGCCCCCACAGGTTACCTGCACCCACCTGAGAGACTGAACCTCGGCCTGCTTCTCCCACGCCAGGCTGTAAGTGATCTCCTCGTACACGGCCTCAGGGAAGGGCTCCCCAGCTCTCCCAGAGCCTGGGGACAGAGGCAGGGCTGGTCTGGGGTTGCGCAGAGAGGGACAGGACCCCACTGGGCTCCCTCACCCCATTCCCTAGGCCAGCACAGGGCTGTCCCCACAGCACAGCCCCACTGTGTTGTGTTGGCACTGAGGCCACATCCCCAGGGAGGGCAGCATCCCCATGGAGATGGTCTGGGACAGAGTCAGCCTCACACCATCCCTTTGGAGACAGCCCTTGTGCCCCTTTGGTCCCTGGTCACGTCCCATTGCAGACCCTGCACCAGTTCCCTCATTTCCCTTCCCCATGGAGCTGCTCCATCTCTTCCCCACACATCAATAGCACAGCCCGTGCCCTGTTGGGGGGTGGCTGACACAAAGGTGATGGACTCTGCTGCCCCATGCTCCTCCTGCCAGTGCTGCCCAGAGCACTGCCAGCAGTGCATCCTCCCTGACTCACCCAGCCCAGATCTCACATTTCTCTCCTCACCCCAGAACTGATGCCTCAGGCTCTGGGCTCTCTCCACCCCTTGATGTTGGTGCCCCATGGTCTGTCAGTCAGTGGGGCAGCACATGGGGCCGGAGGCAGCACACGGCTCTGTTTCTGTGCCCCAGGACACCAAAACCCCCAGCCCTGCCTGGAGGCATCTCCCCCCAGGACCACTGGGGAAGGGCCCACCTCTGCGCTGAGCCCTGGCGTTTCGCACCTGCCCAGCCAGGAGGGCCAGGAGCAGGCAGAGGAGGGCCCCCAGGATGATGCAGATGACGACAGGCACGAGAGTCTCTCACCGCTGGTGGTCAGACGGCCCCGTGGGGGATCTGCATGGGCAGGAACATGGCAGGGGCAGCATCAGACAGAATTCGGGGGCAGGACATGCCACTCCCGACCACACAAGGCAGTGGAGGCTGGGGACGTCAGGGCTGGGTGATGGGGCGGATTCCACCCTGATGGGTACATCACAGACTTCCCCCAGCTTCCACATATTCCTGGGACTCTCACAGCCCAGCATGTAGCCCCCTCCTCCTGACTGGTCTTCTCTGAGACCCTGCCTGGAGATGCCTCTGCCTCCCCCAGTGACTGATGGCAGCCTGACCAGGTACTGATGTTGGGCATGGGTAGTTTTAAAAGCTGAAGTCACCTTTGTTCCTCCAGCAGCTACAAGGTCTAATGCAGAAAGCCAAAGCTTCTCTGGGTTCCTTCTCTGCATTTCACCATATCCTGCGGGGAACAGGACCTGGTGCCTTGATGGCTCAGATTTACCATTGCAGGTGATGTGGGTCTCTTCTCGGAGGTCATCACAAGACTGCGGATTCCAGGGAGCAGAGGGACACTGCCAGAAAGAGCTGTTGCTCTTCCCACACTCCACGTGATCCAGCCATGCAGTACCAGACAGCTTGGCATAGCTAGAATCTGTTTCCAGTTCCCCTTCATTCCCGCAGCCCAGCTCCTTGCACACCAGTGACACCGTCTCGGTGGTCATGGAGTTGGAGCAAACGCTGCCCCACGTCCCGCTGTAGAAAACCTGCAGGCGCCCGGAGCAGCCATCACTGTTCTCCAGCCTCAGGGCCATGAACTCTGGAAGGAGGAAAGGCCCCAGACAGAACAGGCTGGTCAGGGGCTGGTGGAACAGAGGCTCCTCTGCACCCCAGGTGCTCAGGAATTCGGAGGCACAGCCAGCAAATCTCTTTTGCATCTGGGGGCAGAGAGGTCTCTGACATACTCCTTTGCCCTCCCCACACACTGTCAGGGTGGATGGGCTCCCAAGGGTCTGTGTGAGGGTTTCCCCAGGATGGGCTTGGGCAGGGGACCCAAGGCAGCCAGGGATGACATCGGCCTTGCCCAGCTCTGCCCTCACCCTAGTCTCTGAGGCCCCAGCTCCCAGCCCCACTCCCAGCACAGACCTGAGCAGATGACTCCCGCGTCCTCCTTGTGCCCTGCAGTCGTGCTGCCCCCAGGCCTCGGCAGGACAGTCCCAGAGAGCAGCTTCAGGCCCCGGAGCAGCTGACGCCATCCAGCCAGATCTGCCCTGAGCCCTCCCCAAACCGAGCAGAGCCGGCTGCCTCCAGGGCCCCTCCGCAGCCCAGCTGGTGGCAAACGACGGCGGCGTCAGCCAGGTCCCAGGCGTCGTCACAGACGGTGCCCCAGCGCCCCTGGTAGTAGATCTCCACTCTCCCGGCACAGCGCCCAGCCCTGTCCACCAGCCGGACCCGCCGGCTCCCTGCAGTGGGGAGAACCCCGATGCTCAGGGGCTGGCTGCCCTCCCGGACCAGCACCTGAGGGACGTGCAGCACCACATACCCCAGCACACGACCCCCACGTCCTCCGCGATCCCTGTTGCTGGGTGGCTCTCGGGCAGGGAGGTGTTGCAGAGGCTCAGGTCAGCCTCGTGCCCTGCACACTGCACCCCACGCAGCCCCACAGGTCCTCGTCCTCGCTCAGCCCTCACGGGGGTGTAGGCTGCCTCTGCCTCTCCGCACTGCAGCTGCCGGCACACCACGCTGGCCTCCTGCATGTCCCACTGCTCATCCAGGACTCTGCCCCACGTCCCGTGCTGGAAGACCTCCACGCGCCCGTCACACCGGCTCCCTCCGCCCACCAACCGCACAGACATGTTGCGAGCCTGGCCTGGTGAGAGCAGAAATTCAGCGAGGCACTGCATTGGGGTCCCCAGCAGTGGGTGGCCATGTCACAAAGAAGTGGCAAATGGACTTTGCAGCACTGCCCAGCACTCACCTGAGCAAATGACAGCAGCAGCGTTCTCCTGGGAGCATGGCGAGGCCCCCAGGGCAGTCACCGGGCACTGCCCCAGGTGGGCTTCAGTCCCGTCACAGTGGAACGAGTCTCTCCAGATGGGGCCGGTTCCTCTCCCAAAATGCCCTCCTCCAGGAATGGACTCGGCAAAGCCACAGCCGAGGTGCCGACAGAGAACGTGGGCGTCTGAGAGGTCCCAGCGGGAGGCACAGAGGGTCCCCCACGTCCCCAACACCGCGACCTCCACCCTGCCCTCACACGCTGTGCTGCCATTCACCAGCCTGAACCCTGGGTACTCAAGGACAAAGGAGGGTGAGAGAGGCCACATTTGTGCTCTTGTTCCCACAGGAGCTGCAGGAGAGGCCAAAGGGACAGCGTGCCTTTCTCCTCCTGCAGCATTCTAATTTTAGGGCTGCAGACCACCACCTCACCCCACCTGTCCCCTGCCCAGCACAGCCCAGAGCCCACCCTGCTCTCATGCTCCCACCACAGCCCCCATGGGCACCATCCCACCCCAAGTCCTTACATGTGCAGGTGACATGAGTGCCATTGCTGTGGGTGCAGGGCTGGTCCCTGGTGGCCACCGTGGGGCAGAAGGAGAGGACGGATTCATTCCCCACACACTGCAGCTCTCTGTCCCAGACAGGACCGGCCCCTTCTCCCAGCTGAGCTGCCCCATGCACAGACAGGGCTGTGCCACACTGCAGCTCCCTGCACACCACCTCGGCAGCTTTGGCACCAAAGTGGGAGTGACAGACAGCTTTCCACTGGTCCCTGTCGTAGACCTCCACACTTCCTGAGCAGGGGCTGTCCCCTCCGACCAGCCGCACAAATCCTGGAGCAACCAAGGAGACCTGTGAGTTCCCAGAGCCCTCTGGCACTTCCATGCCTACCTCCCACCTCAGCCCTGAGGTGGCCACATGGCCAGCCCAGCAGCTCTCAGTGGGTGCTGATGGCACAAAGATGTCAGGGCCCCCCTGCTGCTCCTCAGAATCCACCCCAGCACCCATGAGCTGCCCTCTCTCCCAGCCCCCAGCTGCAGACACTGCTCAAACTGCTGCTGCCCGGAGCCCCTGGGCTGCCCAGCCCCAGACCCAGCACTGCAGCACCCACAGCACATGGGCCAGGGTAAACAGGCCCAGGAACTGGGGGCTACTTCAGCCTGCTCTGCCCGACAAGGCTCAGGCCAGTTAGAAGAAATCCTTGGATCTGCTAAAAAGCCCCCCTGTTTCCAGGGAATGCTGGGGCTCTTGGGGAGCTGCTGTTACATGGGGCACATTGGGGGATCCTCCGCAAAGGGGGGTCCTCTGCTAGGTACAGTGTGGTGCTGGGCATGCACGTCCCCAGCCACCTACCATGCATGGGTCAGGAAAGCAGGCAGAGAGCAGCCCTGGTTTGACACAAGCTCCTGGTGTGAGGGCAGGCACAGAGGAGAGCCAGGAGGTGTTGGCACAGCCCCTGGGGCACAGGGCAGGCAGGAGAGGCTGAGCAGTGGGTCAGCAGAGCCTGGAGGGTCCATGTCTCCGGGGGCTGGCTTTCATGGGGTGACCCCGGGACAGGAACAAGGTGCCACTTGCCACCATGTTCCTCTGCCCAAGCCCAGTGCTCCTGCCTTCTGAGCAGCCCCTCTGCTTTGGCCAAGGTTCTCTTGGCTGCTGGGGGTAGAACCAAAAGTCCTGGGCCATTGCACGCCCTTCCCTGAGGCTGCTGGTGGCTGGGGGAGCTGCTCTAGATTCCCCTGGCATAGGGACCAGCCTGCCAGACAGGGCCTGGGTGAATGGAGGAGAAAGATGGGAACGAGGCCAGCACAGTGGGAAGGGTGGGGGCTTTCCTCTCCCAGCCCCAGGCACCTCCCCAGGCTTGGCTGCTCCAGCTTCAGGGCCAGGCTCAGTGTGCTCCCACTGGGCTTTCCCAAGGGACAAGGGACACTCTCAGCTCAGACCAGCTCAGAGTGCAACTTGACACACAGAGCTATGTTCTGGTGTCCACTTGTTGCTTCCTGAGGTCACAGCCAGGTCCTTTAGAAGTGTCCTCGTCCCAGAGGTAGGGAACAAGTTCAGTCCTTACCTGAGCATGTCACTCCAGCATCCTCACCGTGATAGCAGTATGCTTGACCCCATCCGTTGTGTGTGCAGTCAGACAGGGCAGACTCCTTGCCATTACACTGAACAACATCCATCCAAATGGGCCCAGATCCTGGTCCAAAGTGTGCATTTACAGGAGCTTCGAGAGAAACCCCACAGCCCAGCTGCCTACAAACCACTGCAGCATCGGACTTGTCCCAGCGGTAACTGCACACGGTCCCCCACTGGCCCTGATGTTTCACCTCCACTCTCCCAGCACAGCGACTGCCTCCATCCGCCAGCCTCACCTCCGCAGCCCCTTCAAACACCAACACAGGAAGGGTGAGGAGAGTTTTGAGCCCCACATTGTGTGTCCGTGAAGACCCCCTCCCCAGGCAGACTCCCAGTTCCCAGGGTGGGATCCCTGTCCCCATAGGCAGGGGCAGTGGAGGATTCCTCCTCTCCCCATGGGCTACACTGGGCTGGGGGTACCCAGCTCTAGCCCTCCTGGGCCATTTGCTACCCCACAGCCCTCACCACCTCCTCCCACCCCAGCGGACCCCTGCCCCCACCCATGCCCACCCCCACACAGCCCCCAGCCCTGCATGGGGCTCCCACTCCTCCCCTTCCCAGTGTCCCCCAAATAGACCCATGCCCTTGAGCAGCTTCCATTGCCCATTGTCTGCCACAGGCAACTCCCAAACCCACTGTCTGGGTTGACCATAAGGATACCAACAGCCCACATTCCTTCCTAATCCCTGCTGTCAGACTGGCCCCTGTGCTTGACCAGGGCCCCCAAGAAGAGAACCTCTCAGTGCAAATGCCCCTTCAGTTAATGGGACACAACCTGCCCTCCTGGAGTCCGTGTTTCCCCAGATCCCAGGGGCAGGGAACAGCACAAAACCTCTCTGGGACATCCCAGACTTTGGCTGTGCCCTGGAGATCACTGAGAACCACCCTCACTGTCTGGGACTCCTCTAGATCCAGAGGCACAGTAGTGGGGAACAAGGGGTCCCAGAAAGGTACCCAAGGACAAGGAGTCTAGAAATGAAGTCAGGCTTAGGCTGCCAAAAACATGGGAGATATGAAAATGGATTACCCCCTCCCACCCAGACAGGCACAGATTAAAGAACAGAGCTGAGAGACTGAGCACCTTCTGCCTCTCATTTCAGTGGTGCCTGAAAACAACCCCACTCCCAGAGAGATCCCAATGACCCCACTGCTGCCCACAGTCCCAAGGCTGTGGAACAGAGAAGCTGGCACTTACCTCTGCAAGGCTGCACCCAGAGGAGCAGACACAGCACCCAAGGGGTCAGGAGTCCCTCTGTCCCCATCCTCAGGCTCCTGTCCTGACAGCACAGACCTGCTGCTGGAGCTCCTGGGGTCCCAAGGGGCAATGGCAATGATGGGAGGGCAATATATCTGTGCAGATGCAGTCCCAGCTGCAGGAGGAGCCAATCGAAGCAGCAGGCACCTTTTTAGACGTTATCGGCACTTATCTCCCCTCCGACGCAGCCCAGCTCTCCAATGAACTTCTCCAGCGCTCTTCATGACCATATATGAGGGACGGCTCCGCTGCGGGTCTCACGTCACTGCGGTGGGACATCATCGTGGGGTAGGGCTGGGTGTGGGGGCAGATGGCTCTGACACCCCTTGCAGCCTGCTGTGGGAGCACGGAGCATCTCCTGAGCTGTAGCATCCAAGAGCCCAAGGTGCGATTGTCCAGCTGTTCTTGAGCCATGGGATCCAGGGGACTGGTCCTGCAGTGGGGCTGTGTCAGGCTGGGAAGGGACCAGCCCCTGCCCCTGCTACAGCCCCTGCTGTGCTGGCAGCAGCAGCTGGGAAAGGCCCTTGGGCAGGGCCAGAGCCCCATGATGGGGGTGCTGGCTGTCCCGTCCCTCCCCAGGGAGCCTCCTGTGGGGTCCCGGCAGCAGCCAGAGCTGGTCCAGGGCCTGCCCTGGCAGCAGAGCTGCAGCCCAGAGCCTCAGGCGTCTCCCTGGCTCTCAGCGTGTCACCCAGGGGCCGTTATTCCCCGCGGCGGGTCGGGAGCTGGAGCCTGCCTGCCACTGCAGGTGCACAAACCGCAGCCCACGTGACATGGCGCCCGGGCAGGAAGACGGTGGTTTCCTCCTGGCCCCGTGCCCAGGCATGGCCCTGCGGTGCCTCCCAGCCTCCCCACATCTCCAAGCATGGAAGGGTTCAGGAAATGTTGGGACAATGCTCTCAGATGTACAGTTTCATATATATGTATATATATATATATCTATATATAATTATAAATAAATATATATATAATAAATAAATATAAAAAAATATATTTTACAAATTTATATTTTACTAATATATTATATCATATCGTATCATATCATCATATATCATATCATATCATATCATATTGTATTATAAGACATTATATTTATTGTTATGTTGTGCTATGTTATTATATATCATATTATATATATATACTATATACTATATGGTATATATATATTAAATATATATATTGTAATAATAAATATAAATAATATATAACATAACATAAAAATAACATAACATAACATAACATACTACATAAACATAACATAACATATATATTATATAATATTATATATATTATTATTATAATTTATTATATATAATAATATATATTATTTATTATAAATATACAATATTATATTATATTATATTATATTATATTATATATATTATATATACATGTATTATTTTATATTGTATTATAATATTGTATATATAGTATTAATATAGTATGATATATATATTATATAATAATAAATAAAATATTATCTTATATTTAATATAAGATATAATATATAAAATATATAATATATAATATATTGCATATTATATATTATATAATACAATAATGTAAAATATATATATTTAATTTTATTTAATATATATTGTATTAAATATTATGAGTTTTTATAAATATCATACATATAATGTCTATAATATGGATATTTTTAAATATATATATTTTTTAATTTTTTGATATAAATATTTTATAGTTTTTTAGATACATATAATTTATTTTTATTTTGAAGGCTGAAGTTGGACACACTGATCTTCAATTATTTCCAGAGCCGGATATTTCAAAATTCAGTTCAACCCATCTCCAGGTGATGCCATAGCATCTTCAGTTGCCATGGGCCTGTTCCTGGCCTGCATTCAGACAGCAATGACCTCACAAACACCTACACAATTCCAGGTCTGCCAGCTCCTCAGGCACTAGTGACGTCACAGGTATAATGCATGGGCCTTGCCCTGACCTATCAGCTACTTGATCACCAGTGACCTCCCCACAGACCTACACAAGCCATGTGCTTATTCCTGGCCTACTGGCTTCTCAGGCACCAGGGTCCTCCCAGCATCTAGCACAGGCCGTGTTTGCTCTCGGCCTGTCAGCTACCCAGGCACCACTGGCATCGCAGGAACAATCACTTGCCATGGGCCTGCTCGTGGCCTATCAGATCTTCAGCTGACAGTGACCTCACAAGCACAGATGATCTATTGGAAGATGTCAGAGTCCCTGCCCATGACAGGGGGTGGCTGCTCATGCTCATCTGGCTGTTGACCAACATCCCCAGGTGCTTTTCTGTTGGCATCTGTCCAGCCACTCTTCCCCAAGCCTATGCTGCATGGGATTGTTATGATCCAAGTGCAAGAGCTGGCACTTAATCATTGTTGAATGTCATGTGATTGGACTCAGTTCATCAATCTAGCCTTTCCAGATGCCTCTTAAAAGCTTTCCTTCCTCAAGAAGATCAACTATCCCAACTAACTTGTTATCATCTGCAAATGTACTAGGGGTGTACTTGATCCTCTCAGTCAGATCATCCACCAAAATAGTAAACAAAGCTGGACCCAGTACAGAGGCCTGGGGAATGCCACCCACGACCATCCACCAACTGGATTGATCTCTCTTCACGCAGACTCTTTGAGCATGGCCATTCAGACAGTTCTTCAGCCAGCAAACTGTACACCTGCCCAAGCCATGAGCAGACGGATGGGTTGTCATTCTGCAGGGCTGCTGCTACTGAGTCCACACTGAGAAGATGTAGATCCTTCTATTAGGCTTTTTGTGATGCCCTGTGCTCAGTCCTTTCAAACCAAGTAAGCATGAAGCTGGTGCTTGTGATGAGCTGGTGCTCAGCTCGTGTTCCAGTTACTTGCTAGCATGTATCATTGTTGTTGAGTTTGTACAGCACTGGCATTCTTGCATTCCCTTTTGTCTCTGTTTGCTTGAGTCTGCATTGTCAATGGTAGTTCAGGAATACTGGAGGGGTGGCTGCGGGGGAGCATGAGGTTGCATCTGTCAAGGTGGGACCTCGGTCAGCATTCACAGTGCAGTGACTCAACTGTGACACAGAAAGGAATTCTATCCTTTGAGGGAATCCCAAAGGTAATTCCTTCTTGAAGGGTGATGCCATCCTGAGTCGTGTCCTTGCCTGTGCAGCATCTGTCAAATGGCTGATATAAGTTCTCCTCAAAAGAAAGTCCCGAACGTGAGGGGCTGTCTAGAGCTGGGCTCCTCTCCACAGTTCTGACACAGTCTTCTCTTGCAGGGGCTCTCCAAGGGCTGCAGCCTCCTTCAGGCCACATCCACCTGCTCCCATATGGGGTCTTCCATCAGCTGCAGTGTGGAGATCTGCTCCAACATGGTGCACCACAGGTCTCATGGAGAACTTCTCCAGCACCTGGAGCACCACCTCACCCTCTTTCTTCACTGACCTTGGTGTCTGCAGGGTTGTTTTCTCTCACAGTTTCTCAATCTTCTCTCCCAGCTATTCCCTCATGTCATTTTCAACCCCTTTCTTTAAAAAGCTCTCACAGATGTACAAACAGCATTACTCATTGGCTGAGTTTGGCCAGCAGCATGTCCCCTTTGGAGCCAGCTGGAAGTGGCTCTTCTCTATGAAGGGGCAGCTTCTGGACTCTCCTCACAGACACCAGCCCTGCATCTGCCCCTGCTACAAAACCCTTTCCATGTAAGTCCAATACAACCTCCCACCCGCAAAGTAAAAACAGAGCCCAGACAAGCAGCAGCACACCCATGGGCTGACAATGGCAAGGCACATCAAGGCCTGCTAGCAGAGGCAAACCCTGTGAGAACTGCTCTGAGTTTTTTTGGCTCTGCCCTCCATGGATGAGATCAAACAAGGAGGGTTTTGGCAGGGGTTAAGCTATTCCTCACTTGTGCTTAGATGGGAGGTTAGAAACCAGCCCAGGTGTTTGTACCAAACCCAACACACCCACACACATCCCAGAGCAACAGGGACTGCACTACCACAGGCCACCTCTGCACACCTGTGCATTTCCCTACGGGACACATTGGGTGACACACACCTCTGACATTCCAGGACCAAGGGGCCTCTGCAGAGATACTGGAGCTTGGCTCAGGGCATGTGCTAACCCTTCTCTGGGCTGGAAATATTCCCAAAGTGCTCAGTGCAGTATTTCCAGCCTGTAGAATTCAAGTAATAGTCAAACAAGCTTTGAGAATGTGCCCCAACACACACCTGTACAGCCATGGGCTTCCTGCTGCCTCCTCAGACCCTGAATCACAGCTGATCTCAGCAGAACATCCCCACCCATCGCCTCCTTGAGTCCTGTGACCTGACCACATCCATGTCACCTCACCTGCCTCCTCCAAGACCAAGCGATTGCTGCAGGACCTCTCAAGCCCTGCCCAGCCTCATGAGGTCAAACAGCCTCAGTTAGGTGTCTAGACTACAGGAATGCAGGATTTGGGGATTAGGTGTTCGGGTTAGGGTTTAGGATTAGATCTTGCCTTCCAGGGTTAGTGGTTGAGCAGAGTATTAGAGGGAGGCCTGTGTTTACTGTTTTGGGTTCTAGTCTGTGTCTAGTGTGGAGACTATGTTATTTGTTGGGATTTTCGTCAGGGCTCTGTTGAGGAATCATGTTAAGGCTGGAATTCGATGCTAGGTATGAAAGGCTGAGGAATAGGGTCAGAATTGAGCTAAGAGTGTATGGTAAGGCCTTATGGGTTTGGGACTTGGCTAACCCATGCCAGGTGAGGTTTGAGGTTCGGGGTAAGAGTAGTGGATTCCTTGCAGAGAGAGGGATAGCATTTAGGTGTTAGGGTAGGGCTTGTGGTTACTGCTTAGAAATATTGCCAGGGCTTGACCTGGATGTTCTCCTTGGAAGTGTTGCTGCTCAAAGCCTTACCTGAACCCCTCTCACCTCTTCCAGATCTTTCCTTTCTGTTAGCCAAACTCCTCTTGTCTCCACCAGATTTCCCACCTTCTTTCTCCCAGCTTTCCCCTGTCCTCACAAAATACATCACCCTGTTGGGGGCAGCTTTCTGATGGCCTTTATGACCTCGGAGGCTCTG